CAAAGAAACAAAGAAACAAACCAAGAAAGAAACAAAGAAAGAAAGAAACAAAGAAAGAAAGTAGGAAACCAAAAATAAATAAAAATAAATTATTGTCATTCAATATTGTCCCATATGGCACCTCTTAAAAAGCACCGTTGCTCAAAAATAGCTTCCCCGGAGCCAAACAAAATGTAACATTGAACTCAAATGGCTTCCATACCAATCGGAGCCAATCAAATAGAACCGTGGCTCTCAATCCAAAATTATTGACTAACGTCTCATACCAATAATACTTTGCAGCTCTGGGGCATAACAAGAGGGGAAAACACACTTGTCGAGGTAAAGTCTGATCAGTCAATGTTAAAAATACCTCTGGATATTCAAACATAAAATAAAACAGAAAGAAACAGAGAAACTTTGAATCTTGAAGACGTTTAAGATGTAAATTTTAAACATTTCTTGGTAAGCCAATACATTTTCAATACAACAAACCCTTTAATGTTCTGAACGCTCAAAATACTTGGAATGAAGAGTTAGTCATCATTGTACAGATAAAAGCAGGCAGGGTATATTCAAATGAAGAACGTATCATTTTGGGCAAAAAGCAAAGCATGCAAACTTTTGGAAGAGGGGAGGGGTGGGGACGTTTTTGTGGTGATGTCGCATGACAAAGGAACAGTTCGTCGAGCAACAGCCAGTGACTTTCTCAGCCCGTGGGGGAAAGGGATTGAAAGATTTAGTGCGCCGACCCAGACCTTATTTATTTACACAAGCAGTTTAGATTATAATCCAACTGTAAGCTTCATGAACTTGAACTCCCTTCTTTTTTCTATATTCATTTAGATTAATTCACTACAAAAATCACAGTTGAAATACAAAAGAACACGATCGATTATATGTGATAAACCACAGGAGGTCCAAGTGTTTTTGTCTTTGTGGATATAATAACATTGAAAGGTTATATTTATAGTCAAGGACACTATAATGCATTTATAAGTAGTTATATCATTTATGTCTTCATTTAGCGTCCCTATATCTGACACATGGAGACAAGAGGACACTATTAAAACAGGGTATACAATAATCATTACACATGTCCAATGCAAATGTTAAGCGTGGCTCAGAAATGAAATTATCAGGAGTAACAATAGATGAAAAATTAAACTTTGGTACTCACATTAGAGAGGTCTGCAAGACAGCGGCGAGAAAGGTTGGGGGCCTAATGCGCTTACGGAACATGTTGTCCACCAAGACAAAGCTTACTATCTACCTGTCAGCAATACTACCTCAAATAAGGCTGTGTTCCTAATGTATGGCAGAAGGGGGGGAGGGGGGCAGGTGAAATTGAGGGGGGATCGGGAAATTTTTTATCAGAAAAATGGGGGGAATGCACAATTTTTGGAAGAAGCTGCAAGCCTTGCTTAGGGGG